AAAAAAAAAAAAAAAAAAGAAGAAGTGGGAAACCAGGGCCGGGCTCAGTGGCTCAGCCTGTGATTCCAGCACTTTGGGAGGCCGAGATGAGTGGATTGCCTGAGCCCACGGGTTCCAGGCCAGCCTGGGCAATTTGGCGAGACCTTGTCTATACAATAAAATAAAAAATTAGCCGGACGCAAGTAACATGCGCCTACAGTTCCAGCTCCTTGGAAGACCGAGGCAGGAGGATTGCCGGTGCCCAGCAGGTCGAGGCTGGGGTGGCTGGGAGCGGCCACTGCCCTCCTGCCTGGGCGACCGAGGGAGACTCCGACTCAAAAACAGAGAAGTGTGAAACGAGGCTCCGATCCCACGTCCGCCCCTGCCTTGACTCCGGCCCTCAAAGGCCCCGGGGGAGGGTCCTGCTTCCCCAGCTCCAGAGCTCCGGGCCTCCTGGGCCTGCGTGCCTGTTGCGCCCATCTCTGCTTCCATCTCCACACAGCTGCCCCTGTGTCCGGGTTCAGCACTCCTGTCCCCTTAGAAGGCCACTGACGCCAGCACGGCCTCGTCTTATTAGTTGCATCTGCAGAGGCCCTGTTTCCCGATACAGGCCCATCCCAGAGGGCCAGGGTTGAGACACGAACCTGTCTTTTGGGGGGCACAATTCAGCCCACCACAGGGGAATCGGCCGGGCATAGTGGCTCACGCCTATCATCTCAGCACTCTGGGAGGCCGAGGCAGGACAATCGCTCGATCCCATGAGTTCGAGACCAGCCTGGGCAACATAGCGAGACCTCGTCTCTAGAAAAATAAAAAAATTAGCTGGGCATGATGGTGTGCGACTTTAGTCCTAGCTGCTCAGAGGCTGAAAAGGGAGGATTGTCTGAGCCCAGGAGGTCGAGGCCGCAGTGAGCCGTGATTGTGCCACAGTGCTTTGGCTTTGGCAGCAGGGTGAAACCCCAACTCAAAAAAATAAAAAAGAAATGTTCTTGAATCAGATAGAGGCTGCACAGCTCTCAACATGCTAAGAGCCACTCCCTGCACTCTAAAGGTTGACGTTCGTGGCTTGTGAGTCATCTGTCAGTCTCAAGATTATCGGGAGAGCTAAGGAAAACATGGCCTGGTGCGGTGGCTCACGCCTGTAATCCCACCACTTTGGGAGGCTGAGATGAGAGAATTGCCTGAGCTCAGGGGTTCCAGACCAGCCCGGGCAACTTGGGAGACCGCGTCTCTACAATAAATCAAATATGAGCCAGGCATGGTAGCACGCGCCTGTAGTTCCGGCTACTTGGAAGGCTGGGGCGGAAGGATCGCAGGAGCCCAGCAGGTTGGCACTGGGGTGGCGGTGAGGATGCCTCTGCCCTCCAGCCTGGGCCATGGAGTGAGACTCTGACTCAAAAAAAAAAAAACCAGAAAAGGAAAACATGTCCGCCCTCAACAGTGCCCGGCTTACATGGCCTCCGCGGGCCACCTCCTCCTGTCTGCCTTCCTGTGGGTAACCTCGCGCAGCCAACGGGGACAGATGCGCCAGACAGTGCCAGGACACACGCGGTGACTGGGGACTGGCCACTGTGTGTCCGTGTGTCCCATGGGAGCCAGGGAGGCCCTCCTGCACCAGGAGCAACTGCAGCATCTGAAAATAAACATCCAGACTATGGAAGGCTTCTCTGGGTGCTGTCTTTTGTTAGAGAAATTAATTTACTTTCTAGACATGAGGTCCTGCTGTGTCGCCCAGGCTGGCCTCCCAAAGTGCTGGGATGACAGTTGTGAGCCACCGTGCCCAGCCTGGGTGCTGCCTTTTTTGTACGTTTGTGAGAGGGTCTCACTCTGTTGCCCAGGCTGGAGTGCAGTGGTGCGATTTTGGCTTGCTTTTGTGTTCAAGCAGTCCATCCACCTTGGCCCCCCAAAGTGCTGGGATTATAAGCATGAGCCACTGAGCCCGGCCTTTTTTTTTTTTTTTGAGTTGGAGTCTCACTCTGTCGCCTAGGCTGGAGGGCAGTGGCACACTCACGGCCACCCCAGCGTCGCCCTGCTGGGCTCCGGCGACCCTTCCGCCTCAGCCTTCCAAGGAGCCAGAGCTACAGGCACGCGCGACAACGCCCAGCTCATTTTTGGTCGATGGTAGAGACAAGGTCGTGCCAAGTTGCCCGGGTTGGTCTGGAGCCTGTGGGCTCAGGCAATCCACTGGCTTCGGCCTCCCAAAGTGCTGGGATGACAGGCTGAGCTGCCGAACCCGGCCCGATGCTGCCTTTTTTTAACAGGACAGATTCTGGGCTGCGACATTTTCCAGCCAAATACAGGACTGCCAGGCCGGGAGCCAGTGTTGCGCACTGAGCTAGCACACAGGGACCCAATACCTGATCTCCAGCTCCTCCCACGCCCCGGGGCTGCGGGCCTCAAGACCGTGGCAGGATGTGGGAGCCTCCGGAAGGAAGTGGGTGGCTCTGGGCCGGTGCACCTCCGCGGGAGGGGTCACAGCCATCCTCCGCTGCCTGGACCTGAGTCGTGCCCTGTTTTGTTTTCAGAAAAGAAAGGGTGGCGTGTTGAGAGGAGCAGCTGCTGTCTTCCCGCCGTTCCTCTGGAACGTTCCTGGCCACTCGCGTTGAGTCCGTGGAAAGACCAGGCAGCCAGGCCGGCCGGCCGGCCCTGAATTCCGAGAAGCTCGCCTCGGCCTCACTTACCCCACACGACCTGGGCGGATTCTGAGAAAGCAGAGAGGAGGACGCAGAGCGGTAACGAAATGCGGGGAGCCTGGGGAGGACGCCACCCGACCGTCCTGGCCTCCCTTTCAGTGGGGAACTGCAGCCTGTCACCCCCGGGGCTTAGGGGCGCATGTGTCTTCCTGGTGGAAAACTATTGGCTTGGTCGGGCGTGGTGGCTCACGCCTGAAGTCCCAGCACTTTGGGAGGCTGAGGTGGGAGGATCGCTTGAAGCTAGCCTGGGCAACATAGTGAGACCCTATCTCTACAATAATGAGGAAGTGAGCTGGGTGCAGTGGCTCATGCCTGAAATCCCAGCACTTTGGGAGGCTGAGGCGGGATGTCATGGCCACAGTGAGCTATGATCGCACCACTGTGCTCCAGCCTGGGCCACAGAGCCAGACCCTGTCTCTGAAACAGAAAAAAAAGGTTGCTCGTGATAGCGGCTCTGCCTGTCCAGCAGGTTTTTCAGAAAATAATTACTTCCACTTAAAAAAAGGCCTCCTGGCCGGGCACAGTGGCTCAAAGCTATAATCCCAGCACTTTGGGAGACCGAGGCAAGAGGATTGCCTGAGCCCTGGGTTCGAGACCAGCCTGGGCAACACGGTGAGACCTTGTCTCTACAAAAATCAAAAAATCAGCTGGGCGTGGTGGTGCGTGCCTGTAGTTCCGGCTACTCGGAAGGCTGAGGCGGAAGGATCGCCAGAGCCCAGCAGGTCGAGGCTGCAGTGGCCGGGAGCGGCCACTGCACTCCAGTCTGGGCGACAGAGCGAGACTCCCACTCAAAAAAAAAAAGGCCTCCCACTTCTGAGAGGAGATGGAAATGGGCAGGGACCTTGCAGGCCCCTCGGGCCACCTTGCCCGGTTGCTAGACCGGTGCCAGCCAGCAGGCATGAACACGTGGAAAAAGACAAGCCGGGGCCCAGGGGACGGTCACCTTCTCCCTGAGGCCCAGCCCAGGGGGTGTCTCCTCCTGAGGCTGGAGGTCGGCTCGGGCCTCAACACTGGCCCCTGCCCTGCTGGCCCTGTCCGGTGGCCTCCCTGGAGGCTCGGTCCCCAAAGCTGGTGCCAGAAAGTCCCTGAGGCCTCAGAGGCTGCCCCGGGCCCCAGGGCTGGGCTTGCCTTGGTGTTGATTTCCGGGGTGAGAGTTGGCTGCGGGTGGATGCCAGTGCAGGAGTGAGGCAGGGCCCAGGACCGGCCGGGACACGCCTTGTCCCCTCACTTCGTTTCCTCCTGGAAAAAGTGAGGCTCCCACGCACCCCATGCGGACGGGCGCTTGGAAATGGAGGCCGTTTGTGTGTGGCGGAATGTCCCCCTATGCCTGGGACGGGCTCGGGTAGGTGTGGGCTTGGGGCTCACTTTCCCATTTCCGTAGGGGAGTTCTTGGTTGTTTTTTTTTTTGCTTAAGAGGTGGCGTCTGGCCGGGCTCGGTGGCTCAGCCTGTAATCCCGCGCCTTAGGGAGGC